CTGATCAAGTCTCTCTCTGCCTCTGGTGAGGAGGGGGGGGGAGGGGGGAATCCTCCACCTCAGACCGTTCAGAGATGTAACTATCTGCGTCGCTGTGGTCACTCTCCATGTAGCATCAATTATGCTAATGCTAGCTGCCTGTCACGTTCTCTTGTCCTGGCCACACCTCCGCTCTCTAACCTCCCTCCCCTACCYACTTTGATACATTTTTCAAATTTCGCCTTGGGGCGGAGTTCTTTTCACAGGCGGGGTAAGATACACGTTAAAAAAGTATCGAATTTGGTACCCATCCATAWTCACGCTCCGAGCAGTAAGGTCCACATCGCAGAGTTCTGACTGGGGAAATGTACATGATGGCTGTCACTGGGGGATAACAGCGGGAGAGCAGAGAGAAATCACACAATTTTTTTGTCATTCGGCAGGGGAATAAGATGAGTGACAAGTCTAATCCAGCCTTCAGAGGCATGGCAGCTGGGGGTGTCTCTGCTCCCCCCTCCTCCTCCTCTGTCATCAGAACACACCAGTAAGAACACAAGTCATCTTTTGAGTTTATGTCCCAGTTTTCATAGCACCCTTGTRAATGTGTTGCTTCACTTCACGTGACTCATACAATCATATCTTTACATCATATTACCGCCCAAGCCTACCTGGTGGGGACAATTTTTGACCAATTTCTCGTCACACGCAGCCTGGCGAGGACACTGTTCCTTATGGGGACAAAAGCCCTGTCAGGAGTGTAGACTCCAGCKGGAAGGAATCACATCCTGCAGTGGAAGGGGTTTCCCAACAACTCAGCACGGTGTGTCTCTGAAGCTATGAAAGGTGTGTGGTGAAAACAAACGCCAAACAACCATGTGACCGCCYGTCAGCTGTTCAGCTTCAGAGGAAGTGTGTCGACTGAGGCTTTGACTCGGACGACACAAAGCAAAGCACAGAACATCACCAGCTTCAGCCTCTCTCTCACATGATGGACTTGGTCAGGTAGCCTGTGAGGTTTGTCTCAGAGACATTAATAAGGCTCTTTTCCCTCAAATAATTAAACAGAACTGATTTACCTGCACAGCAATGGGAAAGCAAACAGCTGCAGTTTTATATGTTAATGACAAAACCAGTTGTGATAAAACTGCTTTTATTTTTTTTGCCATCATAACTCTCAGCATTCTGTAGTTTTAGATACTAAATCCTAGATTACTGGCATGCACTGCAGTTAGTGTTTGTTTGCACTTTTATATTACAATTTAGTTTTGCAGGATTGTCAACWAATTCTGGAGGTCCCAGATGCAGCAGGAACTGGCAGAAACAAAGTGCTTTGTTACTTTAGTAAATTATACGTTTTAACAGTGTTGTAGGTGAAAAGAAACGATCAGCTTCCTGAAGGAGACAGAAATGAGAGCGAACAGAAGCTGAAAGAAAAGCCTCTGAATGATCTGTGCAGTGAATAAAAAACTGCACAGAGCTTAAAGGTTTAGATGCTCCTTAGTAATCTGTCTCTGTGATTAAATCTATTTGTTTAACTTTTGTCCCTCTTTCTGTTAATGAAACACGTGCCCACAGCATGATGCTGCCCCCGCCATGCTTCTGGCAGCTGTGATGTGCTCATCTGACTGTTTCCACCAACAACACTGTGAAGTGAACTGTTTCTGTCTGCAGGGAGCTCCGTGATGGCGCCGTGCTCAGAACCTGCTGACGTCACTCCTTGTTAAAGTACACAGTGAAACCTTTAGCTTTAATTATTGCTCAGATGTTATTTTTACCTGAATGGCGATACTTACATCCTCAGATCATCTGATTATTGTCTCGCACAGCGCGCAGACCAGACAGCTCCTCAGGCTCGGACCGGACCGGACCGGACCGGACCAGATCGGACAGCCAACCTGTGATTACCAGTGAACAGACAGTGAATAATAAAGCACTGCTGCAGAACCAGGCGGAATTACTGGAGCATGTGTGAAACCTGTAAAACAGCGAGGCTGTCTCGGCAGCCATTTTGGGCGATGTTAGTGGTGACTGTTGTGTCAACGAGAGAGCTACTAACACTTCCTGTGGATAAATACACACTTTCTCTGTCTATTCGGCGAATAAATACCTTTCAGGATGAGCTGAAGTCAGTTTCTGGTATTTCTGCGGGATTCCAATCGTGTTTAGCATGAAGTCGTCTTCACGTTCTTCTTCTTTTTGTTTTTCTGCACATCCGGTGTGGGAGTCGGGTGGCAGAGAGCTTTACCGCCCCTGCTGGACCAGACTGGTAACTGCAGGCTGCTGCTGGGATTGAGGTGATTTTATGAAGCGTTACAGACGGTCAGATTGCACATAAACTTTAAAATATTTAATAAATTATCGGCACTCTTGGAGCTGATGGAGCAAATAAGGACTGCTGTAGACCAAAAACAGTACTGTGTTAGTATTTATGTGGACTTAAAGAAAGCATTCGACGCCACTGATCGTGGTATTCTTCTGGAGAAATTAAATCAGTATGGAATGAGAGGACTGGCATTACATTGGGTGTCAAGTTATTTAAAAGATAGAAAACAGTTTGTACAAATGAATGAGGTTAGATCTGAACTCTGTGATGTCATATGTGGAGTTCCTCAAGGTTCAGTACTTGGACCAAAATTGTTTATTTT